TGTTCTTTGCTCGAGAGGCAAATTTCAGCGTATTGATTGTCTCCGCGGTGTGGCTGTTTGACGTTGCTGCGGTGCCTGCAGAGCAATCTGAATGGTGCAGAGAATGCTGACAAGAGAATTACCGGACAAAGCTCCTTGCAGAAGCCGGGTCAACTTGCTGTCACGATAAGGGAGATGCTTTCCGTCCTTGTCGGCGGATTTTCCCTCCTTGTCTTTGCTGTCGGAGAGCTTTGAGATGACAGTTCCAAGAGTCAGCAGACTCTTGTTGATGTGGGAGCCCTCGGTTCGTCTCTCCTTTGACTCGGCGGCCTTTTCTGAACCGGCCAAATCAATTAGGCTTAGGGTCGATACCCTCACACCGCCAGGAAGCATGCCAGAGCGTTTGCTCTCGCCCCCCGTGTTGCCCGGGATGCGCTCACGACTCTCTACCACGATCTGGACGACGGCGTGACTGCGAGAGCTTCGGGCGTTGAACTGCGTGCTCGCCGTCCTACGCGCCTGGTCTCCACGAGCGATCACCCGCAGCAGCTGAGTGGGACTTTGGACGATTTCCTCCTTCAAGGGACTGGCATAAACGCCGCGCTTGGCGTCTTCCCTGAGTTTGATCTCCTCTTGCCCAGCATTGACGCCTACTCCGGCGGTCGACATGCTCAACAAATCGTGGATCCGCTCGTTGTAAATCTCGAGGTAACTGACTCTCAGAAGAAACTCGCGCGAGGGTGTCTCCCGGATGTACGAAAAGATATCCGTAATTGCCAACGGTATAACACCAGGAGATGATGCCGTGCCTTGCATGGAGAAAGTTTTACCAGTACCAGTCATACCGTAGGCGAAGACAGTTCCGTGATAGCCCTCCATGACCCGGCGTACCAAGCGCTTGGCAATGTGGTCATATACCCGACCATTGTCGTCGTGTGTCGAGAAAACATTGTCTGATACCCAGTTAGCATCGAGCGCGCGAGAGTGAAAGCTTCGAAACCCGCTTACCGTAAAAGTGGTCTCCTCCGTCTTTGCCGCGATATGCGACAAGCGACTTGCGGCCATCGACCATCCATTCGCCTTCGGACTTGTTGTTGTCGCTTCCATTGGCGTCGGGACGCACACGGACGCTGACAAGCACATTGCCCTTGCCTTCAAGTTTGGATAATCTTTTGTCGCTTGCATCGGCACCTTTGGACGCTGCTCCGTCGACAGGATCGTCATAGGTGGTTGCTGAGGTGGAATATGAATCTTGCGCCGAGGAACTCCTACTCTGAGGTGGAGAAGAGATGCTGATGAGTCCATCCGACATGCGCACGCTGGCACTAGATATTGACTTGCCCTCGCCACTATTGTTGAGGAGGCTCGGGGTACCGTTGCTGAGATGGGAGTATGAGGGCGCGAGTGAAGCTCGCGATTTTCGGACAGAGTTTCTTGGGGAATCGGCTCCGAGAGGACTCGGTGGCAAGCTGCTCACCCGCCCTTCACTTCGTGGTGGTTGTGGGAACGAGTTGATGCTCACAGTCTTTCGAAGTGTCCGGGCTGGCGTGCCAAGAGCAGATGACGACCTTGGCTGTGGCAGTGCGGATGTCGGGGCGGGGGAGGTCGGTGGTGCGAAGCTCGTAGATGGTGCCCTGAGCCCGCTCTTGGGATTCGGAGTGTTGGGAATGGACCTGCTTGCAGGTGTTGGAATGTTGCCTGTGCTCTTGCGAGTTTTGGCGATAGGTAGGGCGGGGAGGGCCATTGTGGGCGGCCCGTTGGAAGGACGAGATGGCCTTGGTAGCGTTGTTGCCATTGTAGTGGTTGGGCCGTGCCGGGGTCGGATTGGACTTCAGGTATTCCCAGTGCTCAGACCTGACCGCAGGGTGCAATGAGGCTGTTCGTGACAATCGTTACCAGACGAGGTTCGAGTGGAGGGCCATGAAGAGTCGCAGAGGAACAGATCGAAGAGCGCCCCAGCTGCCCGCTCAAGTGGCAGAGGCGGGTGGGCGAGTCTCACGGGCGGGGGGCCTGGTGATATGATGTCTTTCAAATGTCTGATTGTGGATCAGATGGTAGGCGGGGAGGGAGGTGGTGGCAGAGATCCAGACTGCCAGGCCAGCTGCGGTGAGGTAGGACTGACTCGCCTCTTGCGATGCAAGACAGCAAGCAATCGCCTTTGGTGACGTGTTGGAGGCGCCCGAATGCTCTCGTGATTCGAGGCAACGGTCGGCAGGAGCAGTCTTGGCTATGCGTAGAGAGCAGAGGGCGGAAGAGAGAATGGGTGTGTGAGGTCCCGACAAGACGCTTTCTTCTGCTGAGCGGACGTCGGGGGTTAAAGGTGGGCGACGTTGCTGAGTGGGTTTCGGCAAAAGGAAGAGGTATGGCGAGGTGGTTGGAGCTCGGGGATGGGGCGGACGAATGAATGGCTTTGTCGAGACAGGGACTGGCTGCAGACGGGGCAAATCGAGGACGGTGGGCGGTGTCAAGGTGAGATGAGGTCGCAAATGTTCTTTCTGTCAAGAAGAACGGGAGTAGAAGCGTGCCGACGTCAATGGCGAGGCCAGAGGTACACGGGGTTGCGGCTGCTCTTGTCTTGTGCCTCCTGCTTTCGCCTGGACCGAATAGAGGAAAGCGCCAGGCGGTAGCGCAAATCGTAAGGAAGGAGATCCCGTCGTGCGTCGTGGTAACAAGAGTGGTGCCTGCCCAAAAGGCGGGAGTTCGTGCACACTAGACGTTGCGGCTTGGGTGTGCTTTCCTGTCGTTTTCGTCCGATCCTGGGGCTCTGGGCTCGAGCGGGACAGAGCTGGCTGGGCCTGATTTCCGATGTTGAGGAATCGGCAGGCGAGACGGGTCGAGTTGGCTCGATTGAGGCCGATTCGGGATTTGCGCTTTCCCCCCCCTTCACGCAAGTAGTGCACTGATCGCCTGAGAGGACAGTCGACGGACGACGGCGAGACCTTGTCGATTAATTTGCGTTCGCCTGGTTGTTTGGAATAAAGGAAATGGTTCGTTGAGGACGAAGACGATACTCGATAGTTTGTTGACTGGTTGATGGCTGGTTCGTAGGCACACAGCGAAAGGAACGGATGGTTGTGGCAAACAACGACTCGACGACAAGACGATGCGTTGACGGCAACGGCGACGATGTAGGCAAGGCGAGTGAGGAGGGAGGAGGGAGGAATCACATCTCTCGATCATACACATCTATCGATCAACCAGGTCTCGCCCTACCCTTCCCCCTTCTCTCCCCTTGACCTTGGGGCCCCTGGTGTCCTGGTGTCCTTGGAGTCCCTGGTGTCCCTGCCAACTGCTCGGCCACTCACTCGTATGCTTGTCTTGTCCCGACCCATCAACCAAAGACCCTCGACATTCGCATCCTTCCGTCCATCCAACCCCTGACGACTTCTCTGGCCCCCTAGCCTTTCCCCGGCCCAAGACGCGTCCGCTTCACGACTCACGACGAAGGACAACCCCGGCATGGCATCCTGGAAATCTCTGCCCACCCCTCGATGGCCCAAACAGTGCTTAGCTTTCACCACCCCAATTTGATGACCCAGGTAATCGCCCCTGGCTATCTTGCTACATGGACAGGGTTTGCGCGCAGGTGTGGCAGCCTAGTAGCATCTTCTTCGGGACAAGTGCCACAGCTGAGGGCACGATCCAACCCCAAAAGTACCGGCTCTTCCCCCCTTTACCGTCCTGCCGTCCAGACCATCGTCTGCGTTTAATGAGATGCACAAGTCTCTCCACGCACAAAGCGCGCTACAAACCCAAAAGGTAACAGAGAGCTCCAAACACGGTTCAAGATCGCCATGCAGGCTTGCATAACCCGGCGAGGTATTGCACCAGCGCGCGCCGCGGGAGTAAACTCCGAGGCTCTAATGCTGGCTGGCACAGAGAGAGCCCTGGCTCTCGCCCGCTGACACAAAGTCTCTTCCCCTGCTCTTCTGCTGCTTGGATCAGACACGTGTGGCACGCATTGCCTGCCCAACACCTGAGTCGAAGAAGAACATGTTTTCAAGGCTGCTACACAAGCTGTCAAATGTTGAAGAACGAGGAGCTGATCTGCCTTGGTCCCTCCTTCGCTTCAACAGAGTGGCGCCACAAGAATGGCATGCAAGACGCACACGAGATCAGTCCAATGCAGGCGCATGCAAGGTGCGATGCAACCCTGGTGTCGGCAGGTGTCATCCCAGAACTACCCGACATTGCTAGTGGGCGTTGATCACTGGAGTATGCACAGTTCCTCTTCCCTCGTCTACTGTCATCCTGTCAAGTCGGATCCTCGTCTCCTTCGGCCACACAGACAGTCGCCAGATTCACGAGTTACGGGCCTTCAAAGGATGACCAGCCGGCCCATTTAAAGCCCGCGCCCACGCCTACGCGTGCGTCCGAAACCCAAACTATTGGACAACATGGCCTCGATCATTGACGAAGTGTGTGCGATGTGCCCAGTACGCTCGCCGAATCGAAGTGGGTTCCTGGCTATCGGCATCCGGGTGCTGAGAACCGCAATCTCCCTCCGCCCATCACATCACCGCCACCTCCAGCCAACGGCGTGCCCCGTGCGCCTATCGACCAGGGCTTGATGTGATAAGTTTCTTGGCCTAGGGCGCAACTCGACTGTGACAGTTGCATGAGACGACTAACGAGGATGCCGACTGCTGTACCCATGAGCTCTCGCAAGATAATGACAAGCACATGGCCTGCAGAACTACAAACCCGAATGTGACACTGGCGCGTCTCAAGCGGCCGCGTTTCTGTATTGACAGGCCGCCGGCTTCGTCAGTCACCCTGTTCCTAAATCGCTTCCCTCACGAGAACAGTGGATCGAAAGGGGGTCGCCACGACTTCAGCTACAGACCTGGTCGCTGTTGCCTTCCGCCGCCGGATGGACCACTTCGTGGTCGGTGGCACGATCCACGGCCCTAGATCGAACGTGGACAGATCGCAAGTGCCGAGGTCGGCTCGAGGATCTGGATTGCAGTGAGGGGTCACTTCTTCTTCCAGTTGAGGGCTGTGCACTGATTGACGAGCAAGAGCAACAACATCTCCATTGATTGAATCAGATGAACAGACAAGAAGAAAAGTCCCACGGGCTTGGCTATGGACTGTTCTCAGGCCGAAAGCGGATTCACAAAAACACTGGCTTGAGATTTTTTCCTTTGTTCGCCATCTCACTACTAAATAGGCCGGCACCCAGCCCCGCCCGGCCTGGCCCCTAACCAACGATGCCGTTCGCGGATGAAGCTACCACACCACGCGTCTATTGCTCGGGGCGCGCGGCGGAAGACGGCGATGGCGAAGACACGGTTGTCCACGCCAACCTCAGTGTGGTCTCCCGAGACATTTCGAAGCTACTGACTGCGATGCTTTGCCCTTTGCCCTAACAGGGGCCCGGCAAGAGGCTATACGTGGCTCAATGTCAATTCGTTCTTCAGTTCAACAGCTCCAGCAAGCATGCGTACAGGTTGTCTTTAGCAATCCGGCGAAGAATCACCGAGGTAGATGCTTGAGATTGAGGGGTTCTTTTCTCGCAACTATTAGGGAATCGACAATAACTGCGGACTTGCACGACACAGGCCTCGCCCAGTAGCTCTGGGCTCCCATGACAGGTCAAATGCGACGTCATCTACTGTAAAAGTTAGATCAGTCAGACCTCTTGGAAATATTAAACATCTGTATATACAGATACATACCCCGGAATTTCGGCCGCACGGCTTCGGGCGTGCCAAGTCGTATGAGCTTGCGATTGTGCGGACTGGTGTCCACGCAACCTCAGAATTGTGCAGCTCCGGGCAGGTCTTGACTGCAGATGCTGTATGCCGTGTCTGAAGCCATATTATGACATTCTCCCACCCGAAAGCTACATGGCACACGCGGCTTGAAGTGATTATGTACGTCACCACGAGTGTCGTCAAAAGAGCCACCGAGTCGGGGCAACACGGCAGACAGGAGTCACGGCTTGAAGCTTTCACTTAGACTTTGGCACGACTCATCCACCCGGCAAGGTGGTATCGACTATTCAGCCCTGTCAAATCGCAGCAGACCGGATGCACGGGCAAGGGGCAAACTAGACGAAAAAAATCGGAATTTATTCAATGCAAGTCAAGCTTGCAACTCGTGGGGTATAATCTATGGACATCAGATATGTTCTTCAAAGCAGGCGTCACCTTGTCTAGTCATCACGCAATTTGCGCACTCCGCGTCCGACACTTCCGGTCTCGAAGACCTCGAGACGTCCCGTGCCCATGGCCTCGGCAAGGACCCAACCGAATTCGAGGCCGTAGAACTCGCGCCACTTCTTCGTCTGCCACGGCAGCACGCCAGTGAACTCACCACGGGCGCGCCTCATCTTGCGGGCATCGTCGCTCGCGATACCGCCGTCCCAACGCTCTCGCAACAGGTATTCTGGCATTTCGCCATACTTGGACCGACTAAGAAGTGACATGAGATGCTCTACCGCCGCGGAGACCAGCTTGAGATAGCTACCGTGACCTGGCGCGGCAATGCGATACTCGGGCTCTGGGCCGACGCCTCCCCGGCCGAGTCGCGAGGCTCCGCTGCTGCCGCCTGCATTCTGTAGCGCCCCGACGCCGCCGACTGCCTCGATGCCGCCGCTGGCAGCGCGTGACGCGGCGGCGATGCTCGCGAGAGACGTCTTATCTTCTGGTCGACCATAGAAACCTCCAAGAGAAGCGTTTTCATCTCTTGTTGTCGTGCCTCCTGTGAGGAAGCCGGCTCTGACCAACGCATCCCCTTGCTTCTCATCGCACGTGCCTACACTCATGATGCCTGCGCGAGGGTGTTCTCTGAGGAATCTGAGATACAGCCCCTTCGTGTCCTCGTCCAGCTTGGAGCAGCGGCTGACCAGCCCCTCGTACTCATCTTGCCGAATCAGAACCTCGCCCCTCCCACGAACCCTCAACCGTCTCAAGACGCCGCGGCCCTCGAGCGTAGCGACCTCACGTTCCACGGACGTCGGACTGCCACCGAGAACAGCATGAACGTGACCGGCACTGACGAAGCCAGGCAGGCCAGCGTGGAAGTTGACCGTCTTGGCCATGCGCTTGCTGCCCATGCCGGGGACAGGGCCGAACATGGTGCTTCGGGCGCGAGCCATCGCCTGCGGCACGTCTCGAAGTGTAAGGTCTGTGGCGAGGGCTAAGACGAGCCCCTGGTCATCGAGGTGGTCTTGAAAATAATCCTCTTCATAATCGGCTGGTGGAGGCTTCTTGGCCTGAGGGCTTCGGGCTGACGTTTTCTTGGAGGAAGGCAGAGAGGATGACGAGGACGATGGCGAGGGTTTGGTGATTCGCCCGCCTGCAAGGCGGGTCTGGCGGTTGGCAGTCATACAGAGATGGTGCAGATGAACTCCGTGGTGGGTACTTCAAGTTGTTGAGTGAAAGATGCCTGGCCAGCTGTCCAGTCTCACTCAGCAAGGTAGTCTGAACCTCGGGCGAAGAGGGTTTTCGCTGATAGAGCCTCTTCGGCAATGTTTGCACGGCAGCTTGATACGCGATTCAGGCAGCGAGTACAGAGGATAGGGCCAAAAGGCGACTCATGTTCTTGACGGAACCCGATATTGATCTGATGGAAACAGTGGCAAGTGCAAAATCAGTCATCCGGCGAGGCAGTCGCAGTGAGGCAAGGTACCTACAAGATGTACAAGGAGACACCTCAGAGAAAGGGCGACCAATGGGTGAAACAGTGGATCAACGGCCTGGGGTGCTACTGCCATTTCCATATCAAGGTGGTCGCCACACCCCCACCTTTCCGGTCTGGGGCCGCTTCTCCCTGGCTCCTTCCCTTTCCCGCCTACAGCTCAAGCTCACCTCGAACGAACCCCGTGTGCGTGTGCGGGCAACCTGACAACATCTGATCGCCCTCCCGCCTTACCTTACTCCATTTGAGGACACCATATCAACTGCACCTCCATCATCATCTCCCTTTTCTATCGCCTCTCATCAAAGGTTCGCTTGGCAGTCCTGCCACCCTACCCACCAAGTATCACATACTTCCGATTATGAATACCTGAAAGCACGTCGGCCTCGCTTCATTGCGATGCTGACGACCTGCTAGTACATTAGCGCTCATTGCCTTATAACTCTTTGCATACCATCAGCCGAGGCTACGCGCCATACCTTGCTGTCATCCCACCCACCTTCTTCAACATTTCATCGCCAGACTCATCGACATTTCATGATGACTTGCTCTTCCGCCCTGACGCAGGATCGGAACGGGGCCGAGAAGGTGGTCCACCCGGACCTGCTTGCCGCCATCCCTGACAGCGTTCTTCTCCGCCTCTTCGAAGCTGTCGCTCAACAGTCGAAGCGCGATCTCTGTACCGTCTCGCGACTCAACAAGCGGTATCACGCCCTCGCTGATGCTGTGCTGTACAAAACGGTTCTTTTTCTCAATCCCGAGCTGCACCTGCTCTTCAGCGAGTCCCTCAGCCGTCGCCCACGCCGTGGCTCCGCCATACAGCACGTCAAGCTAGCCTACCCCTCACACGAGCTCACAGCCCTGACGATCGACGCTCATGCCCCTGTTCACGGTTACCGTCCCCAAGATGCTGCTCTTCGCTTCGACAGCCTGCCTCGCGCCATTGCCGCCATGTCCAATCTCGAGACGCTCGACATCTCCGTTCCCGTGACCCTCCTCCACGGCATCGGCCAGCTGTTCAATGGCCCCTTTGACCTGGCTTGCCTCAAGTCTGCCTCTCTCTTCTATCAGTGCCCCGAGGATGGCTACTGGGACCTCCGCGAGAACATCCACATCTTCGCCCACCCTACGCTCGAGTCACTGACCCTCCGTCGCGCGCGTCTCGATTACCGCGGCTTCGACCTCATGGAACAGCCCCACGCCACGGCCCTCAAGAAGCTGCACCTTGTCGAGTGTGACATTAACGATGACGCCCTGTCTGACCTTCTTGTCTTTCCCGAGGCCCTACAAGAGTTTGTCATGACGCAGCTCGAGGACCCTCAGCCCGAACTTGAGGAGAGCTCCGACATGTTTCGTGACTACATGGTCGCCATTGATTCAGCCGCCGCCTCTCTGGAGACCGTCACCATCGATTTTCCCTCCCTGGCCGGCCACAAGCCGCTCGCCTTGCGCGAATTTGAGAAGCTGACCACGCTGCGTATGAATTGGGACTACCAGCTCTTCGGCAAGACCTCTAGGAAGCCTAGGCTGCAGTCTGTCGGCCTGCCACCCTCGCTCGAGACGCTCGAATTCTTTGGCGAGCTGGGCCGCGACGAGGAAGTCACCGAGCTGCTTGCGCACATGATTGAGCATCTTGACCTCCACGCCGCCAAGCTCAAGAGGATCGTCGTTGGGGAGGGTTCAGTGCCTCCCGAGGTGAAGGCGGCCTGTCTCAAGCACCCGCGGCTGAGGCTGGACGTGATTGGAGAGTTTGACGTGAGCGATGACGAGGGCGAGGAGCAGTCCGAGAAGGAGGAGCAGGGGCCTGAGAAGAGCCGGGAAAGCTTCGACGATGACGAAAAGCCGGACGGGAAGCCAGAGGCGTCACATGAAGAGTGGCCAAAGCTGGAGCACGACGGGATATTCAAGGACAATTTGCACAGCGCGACCCATCAGGTGGTAGACATGGAGGTAGACAACAGGACGGACACTAGAGTCTAGATTCAAGAGCCAAGAGTCAAGAGTCATAGAGGAGTTAGACTGGTGGCATGTTGGAAACGCATGGTAGAGCTGCGATGGTGGCTACGCTCGAAGATTGCTCGGCAGTTGGACAAACAAGGATAAGAAAGAGAGAGCGATAGGATGGGCCACTTGTGTGAATGAATGGTCAGCGATGGGATCACTGGACGGATATGAATGAGGAGGTCGGGATATGAGCTTGGGGGCAGCGACGGCGTTAGAAGACCTTTTTTTCTTTTTTTGTTTTCACAACTTGTTATGACACGTAGTACAGACAAATCGAAACGCACGACCGTGAGTTGTCACACAAACGACTCGAGTTGTTCAAACGTGAACCAATTCTAATCTTTGTCAAACTGGGTATAAAGCCCTCTCTCTGCTCTCTGAACTATCTCAACAAGAACGCTGATGATGGCAAATGACCTCCAAGTACATCGGTGTCCCGCTCCATCCAATACAACACCATACAAACATGGTTTCTGGGATCTCTCCCCCCCGATCCATTTCACCAAGGCGGCACGCCTCAGCCCGCCATGGTCAGTATATACGACGTAATAGAGCTCAGCCGCTCGCTCGTCAGCTTCAGCGAGATGCGCAACAGCTCTCTCGCGACGTCCGGCTCCTCCTTCTGCAGCCTCTCCCAGCCCTCGGTGTCCATCAGCCAGGCGACGCAGTCCCGCTCCACGAGAACGTTCGCCGTGCGCTCCGTCTCGGAGAAAAACGGCAGCTCGCCGCACGTCGTGCCCGCCACGATGCTCTCCGTCAGCCAGCCCTGGGCAGTCGTACTCGGCGCGCAGGATGCCCTGTTCGACGAGATAGAAGCCGCTCGCCGTCTCGCCGCGCCGGTAGAGGGTCGAGCCGGCGACGAACTCGCGTCGACAAAGTAGGGGACGGTGCGGAACCAAAAGTCCTCGTTCTTCTCGGTCAAGCCCTGGAATATCTGGAGCATGAGACGCAGCGGCTCCTTAAAGCTCTGCCATCGCGTCGTTTGCTGCGATTCCGTGTTGGTGAGGGCATTCTTGGCGGCGGTACGTAGGTGGTTCCGCCGAGGCGAGTTGAAGACGCCATCCAGCGCAGAACCCACGTCTGCCTTGACCGGGACGTCGAGGCTGGCCGTCGGGGCATTTCGCGTGGCGGCATGCAGCTCTTCTTGGTTTGCGTAGAGGGTCTTCAAGAGCTCGTTCTCGCAGCTCTCGAGCGCAGAGTTGAGGTCCGGGAGCATGGTTACTTCCACCGACTCCGAGCCGAGACCAACGGCTCGTAGGTTGCGTCCCAACTCGGTTTCTGCGTCGACACCACTGATCACCAGCACAACACCCTTGTTATCGAGCAAACGGCTGATCGTGTTGAACGCCTCTCCAGCCGAGTAATCCAGCCCGCTGACGTGGTACAAGTCCAAAATGAGGAACTTGATAGGAGACTCTGAAAAAGCATCGTCCTCAATCAGAGCCCGGATCTTCTCCTCGACGCTTACAATGGTGCCGAAGAAGAGGAAACCGGTCAACTTGACAATGTAAATTTGACGGCGCACCTGCTGTAGGTATCGATGCTGACCGGGGTTGCGGCGCACCGTAGACCCTACGATGTCGCCGTTGTAGCTGGCACGAACTGCCGGCACGCGCGATGTCTGGAAGATCAGCGAGATGAAGGCCAGGAGGATACCAACACCAATTCCAATAACAAAGTCGTAAATGCCCATGATGAGCACGATTACGATCACCTGGAACTGTTAGCCTGCGATCAGTCTACGTACGCTGGACGCACTTACGGTCAGGTATTCTGCCAGCTTCAATTTCTTCCTTGGTAGCCACACGGCCTCCAGAAGCAGCTCGAATCCGAGATCAAAGATAAGGGTGCCGACCATCATGACCGGGATAAAGCCAATGATCATTGGCCCGACCATCAGCACGCAAAACGTCAATGCCGCCAGCATAACGCCAGCAAGTCGGCTATCGCCTCCAGACCGCATGAAGAAGACAGTGTTCGCGTAGACCAGATAGTTCTGGATGCTACCGAAACAGCCGGACAGAAAGTTGGAGTATCCATGCAGTTTGAGCTCCCGGTCGAGGTCAGCATGGTCCTCGCCCGTCTGCAAAGCAAGAGCAGGGACGTTGATGGGAACGTGAAGGATGCCGAAGAAAGTCAGCGCCAACATGGCTGGAATTGTGTCCAGGATGGCTTCCCACTGGACGAGGTGGAACTCTGTAAATCGTGTTAGCCAAGTCGTCGACGGCGTCTTTTTGGGAACGTACTGTAGAGTGTCCAGAAATACCACCATGGTTCGTCGGCTGGCGGCCCTTCGAATATCCAGCCGTTGTCGCGAAGAGGGTCAACGTCGAGAGTGTCAATGACTGTGACGAAGAAGTAGAAGACGATGGGAATCGCCGTGATGTACAAGGGCAGAAAGTACTTGGACGCAACTTTTGCCTGGCCGTAGAACAGCACAATGGCCAGTATGAGAGGAATAACCCAAAGCAGTACTGTGTCGTGCTGGAAGAGCTTTCGCAGTGTTTCCAAGTTGTATTCGAGGCTGCCACTCATGCGGGCAGAGACCTCGAAGCCAGTAGCAACGAGAAACCATCCGACACCGCCAATGCAGCCGATCAAGATGTGTCGAGGGATGAAGCCGACCATGTAGCCGAAGTTGAACTTGCCCATGAGGTAAAAGACAAGTCCAGTGACCATGGAACTTATAGCGTATGCGGTAATTGTTGTGGCGATGACAGCGTCGGGGTTTTCCTCACCAACGATGTCGGTGATAGTTTGAGCCATGTTATGGAAAAATGGAACGACTTCGATCTGAGGTGTGTCAGAGCGTGCGTGCTGGGGAGGAAAAGGACATACTCACGAGTTCAGAGCCAACAGCACCCCTGAATCCACTGCCGGCCGAGAAGGTGAGCTGTGAGACGATGGTGCTCACGTAGAAGATAGAAATGCCAGCCGAGCCAAGACCGGCAAAAATGGGTTTACCGAGGGGGAAGAGAATCATGCCTAGTAGAGTGGTTAGCCTGCTGCTTGCTGCAGATTATGGTTGAACAGTCTTACCATAGGACAGAGCATCGAGGACGTTGAGCAGCAGCCCCACGATGACGGCAGGCAGGCAGGAGGCGGGCGCAACCACCACGTTCGCCCACAGCGACTTGCGGTTCCAGATTTGCGGACTCGTCGCCGCCTTGGCAGTCCGCGCCAGGCTGGCTTCGACATTGTGGCCGGCGGTCTTCAGTCCATTGAGCCACTGTCTTCGCGGCCGTGGCTTCTGCCCCTCGACGTCGTCCGTGGCGCGGCCATTGGTGCCGTGCCCGTCAGAGGATACCCTTCCCAGCAAGGGCGTCCGCTCCGTAGACTCTGCCTCTTCTCCTCCCATGCTGCTTCTCTGCCGTCGTTGACGCTCTGACGACCTCGACCTCTTCTGCTCGAGCGCCGGGGTCTCGATCTCGGGGACACGCGGCTCAGGCGACGGAGAAGACGCCCCTCTGGACTGTGGTGGAGATTTGCGCAGCAAGCTCGTTAGGATGGAGGGCCCCTCGTCGGGCAGCTCGTCGTCGGGCTGTATCTCGTTGTGAGGCGAAGGAGGCTCCGAGACTTCGTGTATCGTTTCGGAGCCGTAGTCGGCATCGTCGTCCTCGCTCGGCAGGAGGGACTGCGCCTGGGACTGCTGGGAGCGTCGTCTCGAGAGGAAGGCGGGGCTCTGGTTGCTTTTCTTGTCAGAGAGCAGGTAGGAGGCTAGCTCTGCCGTGTCCTCGCGGACGTGACGGAGGTATTCAGCGCTGTCGACAGGTGCTGGAGGGAGGTGGGCGTGCGTCTTAGTATATACGTCTCCTGCGACGGTGGGGGAGAGCGACTGGCGGCAGCGACTTACCAAGGTCGTCTCGAACTGAGCCGTGTATGAAGGACCGTATGGGCTCTCTCTGGCCCGTGGACGAGGACAGCTGCCGCAGAGAGTCCGAGTGAGGGGGAAGGGAGTTGCGGTTCGGGCGGTTGATGGGCGTGGGCTGCGCGTCGTCGGTAGGTTGGGTCTGGGTGCTCAGTGACGAAGCTCTCCTCCGCCATGGCGAGAAGCCATAATTGGGTGACGACATGGCGACATCCACGGGACGATGGGCTCACTGGAAACTGCAGCAGCGATGGAGGGTTTGCGGCGAGGGGCAGAGCATTAGGTCCGAATCGGAGCAGCAGGAGGAGGAGGACGAAGGTTTGCTGCAGGGCCAGGCAAAGCCAGTCAAAGCCAGTCAAAACCAAGGTCGCTCGGGTCCCAGTTGGCTGAAGAAGAAGCAGGCAAAAGTATTTACAGAAAGGGATTAGTTCTGGACCATCCTAGCGCCCGCACGCGATGGGGGTGGGAACTGGTATGCACTGGAGAGCTGAAGGTGTGACGAGGATGGGGGAGACGACGTAGGAACGCTAGGGAAGGATATGGGGCAGATAAGCCATGGGGCCGGCTGGGCGATGCTGATGTCTTTCTTGGTGGTCCCTGAACCTGAATTGGATACCTGCGTACCTACCTACGTACCTTGAGGGAAGTCGAACATGCCAATGCCATATGAATGCTCCATCGAGTCAACGTGTCTTGACGGGACATCGACCTCTCCTGACAGGACACAGATTGTGTGCGTTTCGAAGGGGATCCGGCTGGGGTCTTCCGTCTGCCGGTATCGTGGAACTCGGTCCTGTCTGGGTTGGGTTGAGTTCTTCCGGCAAATTTGCATGAGGCGCCAGCGCGCGTTCCGTTTCAATTGAGCCCCGCACCTGAAGATTGAGGTCGGTCCAGGTCCCGGTCGCGGTCCAGGGCCAGATTCAGGTTGGTCCTGGCAGCCAGCAGCAGCATGAGGGCAGCGTGGGCAGCAGTAGCTTGCAGCAGGGTGCAGCAGACGAGGCAGCCTCAGTGACGCCATTCAGCCGCCACCCTGCCACCCAGGCCAATCGCTTGCCCCAGAGACTCCCCATGGCCCCCCCCCCCTTGAAGGCCAACTGCCAGCCAGAGGCTTCGGTGATGAATTCTCTGCACCTCCGTGACGAGGCCGCCGTCAGCAACTCATAACAACAACGCCGTCCCTATCTATGTCGCCATTGACCGCTACAATGGCAATCCAAGCACGACACTCTCTCTAGGGAGCTCCCGACCCATTCGTGATCGCGCTACCTGATGCAAAGGGCTGAACACAGCAGCAGCGCGTTTGGCCCGTGAGCCCACATGGCCAGTGGCCAGGATCGTCGCTGCAGCCCACGAGCGGCGGGGCTCGTCCGGCAGCGCCGGTCTTAGTGATCGCCAAGGTACCTAGGGTTGCCCGTGATTCCATAACTGGTCCGTATCGTCAGGTGCAGTTAGGTAGGCGGTCGACGAACCACATGTGGTCCTCTCCATACATGTCATTTTCTTCTGTCAACGCAATCCCGTGTGAAAAACAATAGGAAGCCCAACATGCAACACTTCAGAGATGTGATCTTTAGTCATTTGATGTCATCCAATTGACTTGACATATCGTGCCGTAGAAGATAGGTAGCCCTGATGCCCTCGCTTGCCTTGGTATCCGACTCTTCTTCCACCAGTCGCCGACGTGCCCGCTGCTGGCAGTGTCCACCGTCCACTGTCCAGCGCCCAGCGCCCAGCGCCCAGCCCGCCCGGCCGCCCCGGCTCCAGCTTCCGGTGCCATCTCGACGTCTCGTTTCGTCTCCTCTGCCGGACGTTCTGTGCCGCGTACAACGTCCGAGACCGGCATTTGGGCAACAACCCAACTTCAGCGTTGCACTCGTAGCACCCTGTCGAGCCCGCCGAGTGGCCACGCACGAAAGTTCAAGGGTCTATCACGCCTCGTCTCGGCATGCGTCTGGAGCGTCGAGTCGTTTTCTTTCTGGTGAACCAGATGACACCTGAGCCCCTCAACGAGAGAGCAATGCGCACACCCTCGCTTTGTGATGGTCTGGTTCGCCGCGTCATTGGGCCATCACTGGCGACGCGTCCTGCACCAACGAATTCCATTTCTCATGCATCAGGTGACAGCTGTCAAAAAAGCATGCCTTCAATCCAGCTTTTGCAGGTATCCTTGCGTGATGAGTCGCTCCACGTCGCCCTGTCGTACATAGAATTGACTGTTCTTCGTCAACGTGATCGATCTGCAGACCAAGGGGAGTCAGCCGATCATTGCAATAACGTCAAGATAGAAAAGAAGGAAAAAAAAAAAAAGGCCTCGGCAGGCGGTGCGAGGCAAGGACCTCCAATCCCCTTACCCATATTCCGTCTGAATCTCCCCGGCGTCCTTGAGCACCCGCACATCGATGAACAGATCCCGCGGCGGCTCAAGGCTCCCCGTCAGATCGATATCCGTCCACTGTCCCTTGTACGCCGCCAGCAGGTCGCCGTAGCTCCGCACGTACTCCTCCTCCTGCGGGCTCAGGCTGCTCGTCGACCCGTCGCCGCTGCTGACCTTGGCACCGGGACCGCCACCGCCGCCGCCGCCGCCCGCGGGCCCCTCGCGCACCTGCTGCCCCGACAGGTCGAGCACGTCGGCGTCTTTCCAGACGAGCTCCTCGAGCTTGTCGGAGCGTGTGCGGTGGTAGGCGAGCAGGCAGCGCTTGTTGCGGCGCATGGAGAGGTGGTTGACGAGGAGCGTGCAGGCCGTCGACTGGTGCTCGGCCGGGTCGAACGTGCCCTGGTAAGGCGCGAGGAGCTCGGCTACATCCTTGTCGAGGTCGCGGACCTCGCGCGTCACGGCGCGGACAATCTCGGCCTGGTAGGGGGGCAGATGGGCGAGGTTCTGGGTGCGCTTGGCCTGGAGCACCTGGTGGTGGTGAAGCGTGTGTCAGGTTGCGGTGTGCTGGACGTGGAGGCGGAGGAAGAATCTTACCAGCTTGTTTCCGAGGTCACCGTACATCTGAGCTAGGACGGGTGAGAAGACGAGTGATGCCGCGGGGAAGGAAGGAGGATACAGAAGAACAGAGCAGTGGCGCGAGGGCGGGTTTCACGGAGGAAGTCTTCGAGACCGCGACTCGGCTTGAGGGCGCGTCAACTGTGCTGCACCACAAGGACGACCCACTGACCCCTCCATTGTAATGCTTAGCGCACTACATCTTATAGATGCATGCGGCCCAATGAGGTACAAGACTCCTTCACTGGATGAGACAGAATTCACTTGGCACGGTGACATGGTTATTGATTTTTTTTTTGCCTCTCAATTGCTTTTTGCATTCATGATTCCAAACATGGAATGTCTATGTAGGCAAATTCATTCAATGCCCCTCTGGGTATTGCGTGAACCATCGTGTCTCCCAATCCCACCCCGATCATGCCTCATAAAATTCATCCCTCCACATCATTCATTCAAGCTTCTTACAGCTTCTGCATGGCAGCAATATCGGTGGACTGGACGTGGTCCTCGAAACCCTGGATCTCCTCCTCGAGGTCGGACAGCGAGATCTTCTCGTCCTCGATGACGAGGTTGATCTGGAGCTTCTTGATGCCGAAGCCGACGGGCACAAGCTTGGAGGCACCCCACACCAGACCGTCCTTCTCGATACCACGGACAGCAGCCTCGAGGGCGGCCATGTCGGTCTCGTCGTCTGTATTTAGTTGTCAGTCATGGCTCTCATTCCGGTGGCGATGGTGAAAACATACCCCAAGGCTTAACGTCAAGGGTGACGACCGACTTGGCGGTGGTCTTGGGCTTGGCCTCCTTCTTCTTCTTGTACTCGGCGAGACGCTCCTCGCGGATGCGCGCGGCCTCGGCGTCCTCCTCCTCGTCGTCGGAGCCGAACAGGTCAACGTCGTCCTCGTCCTCCTCAGCGGCGGGGGCCTTGGCGGGGTTCAGGGTGAGCTCGCCAGACTCGGGGCCGTAGACGGAGTAGGGCTTGGACGCATCGCCGGCGAGAGAGGCAAACTCGGACTCGTAGGTGGCGATGTGCTTGTACCACCTAGCGGCGTAGGGGTACTTGGCGGCGTCAGGGCCGGAGGAGAGGGCCTTGAAGACGGCAACGTCGGCCTGCGAGGGAGTGTGGCTGAGACATTGTCAGTCTCAAAGTTTCGGTGTTTGCTGTGCCGAGAAGATAGAGAGAAAAAACAAGGAAAATTGGCAAAAGATCAGAAGTGCTAAAAGCGTGGTTGTTTCTACATGGAGCGGGTCTTGAGGCCGCTTCGGAAACACGGACCATGTATATTCATCATGGAAGCCAAGGGGAGAGAGAAAACGCTGCTGTCGCTCTCCTCGCGAAGAGAGCTTGACAGGCGCCGGAAGAAATGGCAAGACTGCGACTTACCCAACAATGTAGGAGCGGGTGGCGAGCCATCCGTTGAGGGCTACGGTGTCGCGCTCATTAGCTGACTGAACAAAACACCTCAAAGGGGCTGGCGACTGGACTGACTGGCAGCTCCGGCGTCAGAGACAAGATCGGCGAAACCCATTTTGAAAGAATAGAGGTCGAGTCGTGGAGAGAAAAGACGAGAGAAAGAGTAGAGAGAATTGGAAGGGCGAAGGGAGGTGTTGATAAAGGAAAGGTGGTAGATTTGACGTGGGGTTCAGATGAGGGAACCGAAATTTTTCAGCACAGTCACAATCTCGTTGCTGAGCACCTGGACCCCGCTCCTGCCCCCCCTCCTTGTCGCCTCATCCACGGAATAGACTCGGGCCGCCCTGTGGTTGCGCCAGGGAGGCTCTTCCAGGCTCCACCGCCACTAGCAGGGGAGACGGGATGACATAAGCTGAGAGGAGCTCGCTTGATTGCTGTCGCCGACCGCCAACAGCCGGCGGTCGTTGGGCGCTGGCTGGCCGGCAGGCCAGTAGGTAGGTAGTAGGTAGTCGCTGTGGCAGTGGCAGGCACGAAGCTCTACGTAACTCCATCGCAAGCTCCATCCACCCAACGACTGATTGCAAGTGCTCGACGCCGTAACCTGCAGGCGACATCATCCACCTCTCCCGCCACTTTTCGACCTCCTGCGACCCTCGACTTTGTTTTCTCAATTTCATCGAATCCGCACAGCAGACATATAACCATGTCGATCCTACCACTCATCACCTTCAAGGCCGGCATGTGCGATGTCGAGGTGAGCCGCCAGACACCCATCGATCGACCCGCTTCGTCGACCGCCACGTACTGACCTCCTCTTGCCTTGCAGTCCGAAGGAAACCCCAGAAAGGTGAAGCCGCAGCCCAGGCCAGGCTACATCTACCTCTACTCCGACGATGGTTTGTCTCATCCACAGCCTGCTTTTGCTTGTTTGCTGGCGTTGCTGGTGCTAAGACAATCTTGCAGACCTCATCCACTTCTGCTGGCGCGAACGCGATCAACCCATGGACGACCCCGAGCTCGACCTCGTCATGGTGCCCACGGACGGCCAGTTTATTCCACACCACAGCGGCGACAAGGCATCCTCCAAGACGAACGGCCGTATCTTTTGTCCTCAAGTTTGCTTCCTCGTCCGCCCGACACTTCTTCTGGCTGCAGTCGAAGCCCCAGTCCCCCAGCGGCGATCCCAGCTGGTTCAGCCCCCGGGATCGCAAGATTGGAGACATAGTCCACGAGCTGCTGCAGGGTGAGGACGTTGACGTGCAGCGCGAGCTCGCACCAGTGTCGGGCGGAAACCAGGGCGATGACGATGATGACGACGATGACGAGATGGAGGATGCCGACAACGACAGGTCCGGCCGCGCCGCCTACAGGGGCGCCGGCGGTGGCGCCGGCGCCGACGCCACGGGAGGAGACGTCCGAGAAGAGGGCGAAGATGCCCGAGAGGGCGGCAGCGACGGAGCACGAGCGTAGGTCATATCCATGGTCGTGTTGGCAGTGATGCCGTGCGGGCGATTCGGTGTCCATGGTCTCGTTCAGATTGGGGCCTCGAGGCAGGGCGGTGGCGAATTCAAAGACGAATGCCGGAGACAGGGGCATGCTGTACTTTATTAGACAACCCAAAAGACTCATGGTTCGGGGCTCTACTCTTGCTTGGCACATGGACATCACGGCGCGCTAGCTTGTCGAGGAGGGAGCGAGGCTGACACTGTTGCAGAGCTGGTTCGGGTGCGAGCGGGGCGCCGACGGATGCCGATGCTGCCGTCAGGAACTTCCTGCAGTCATTGCAAGGGAACGCCGGACTCGGCGGTGCGCAGGGTGGCCAGCAGCAGCAGCAGGGGGCAGGCGGCGCCGACAAGGCTTTCCCGTATCTCAACCACCTTCTGCCCAACGAGATCACGATTCCCATGCTGCGCACCGCGTCGGAAGAGTACATCGACAGCCTGCTGAGCTTCCTGCCGCCGGCCATCCTGGTGCTCGCCACTGGTTCTGGCGACCTGGGGGACTCGGAGCCGACGGCAGACGCTGCGGCCGCGGCCATGGCGTCTCTCAGCGTCGCGGAGAAGAAGACTGTGCTGGAGAGGGTGTTCAGGAGTCCTCAGTTCCACCAGGGGCTGGGCAGCCTGACGATGGCCATCCGCGACGGTGGCCTGCCCACGATCGCCGAGGCTCTCACGATCAAGGTCGCCAATGGGGGGTACCTGCAGGGCGGCGGGATGCCCCTCGGTGGTGGCGAGGCTGTTGAGGCTTTTGTCGAAGGCGTCAAGAAGACTGTGCAGGAAAAGAAGGAGTAGGCGGATGGGCCGGTGGCTGCAGCCATTCAAACGTGGCCAGGTGTTCGACGAGGCTGGTGTTAGCTGAAGCTCGTGGTGTTAGATGAGGCCTCGTGGTGTTAGATGAAGCTTCATAGTGTTAGAGGTGTAGGCTGCATGAACTTTGTGACCTAGATGGTTAGGCAGCCTCACTGTCAGATTGAAAACATATGGCAATGTGTCCAACTCTGTTCTTTCTCTTCTCTTTTTATGTATTCACGAGTCTGCCAATTCGACCCCGTCAAGAACATCCTGAAGCTAGCTTGCTCTACCTGGTACATACCTAGGTAAGGTAGGTAAGGTAAGGTAAAGGAGACACGGATGTGACCCCCACTTTCGCGTAGACAGCGGCCCCCACTCTTCAACGTCACTCTGGTCCCTGAGCTCCTGCAGCTTCAGGCATCTCAATCCCAGGCTTCTGAACTTTCCCATCTTCCAGCTTCCATCTTCCATCTTTCACCCCTCAGCCTAGCCACAGCCGCGATCATGGCCGACGCAACAATGCATCCGCCGTTGCCCACGTCGGAGGACGCATTCGCCCAGGACGATCGCATCTCCTTCTCTCGTCTCGACAACAAGTACATCGCCGTCAACGACGAAGACGGCACCGAGCTCGAATTCGACCAGGCCACCCGAAAATGGGTCCTTCCCCCAGACCACGACGACGACAACCAGCGAGAGCTGCAACAACAGGACGCGCATCTAGCCGACCTCGCCCAGAGCGGGAGCACCACCACGGCCCAGGACGTCAGCGCGTCACGGAAACGCAAAGATGCGCCGCTGAACGGCAACGAGGTATGCGCCGTCGTGCACGAATCCGGACCGCGAGGCCAGCCCTTCGCCCAGGCCGGACCCTCTTTCTCCTTTGTCTCCTCCTCCTCCTCCTCTTCTTCTTCTCATGCCTACGAAAGCAGCGCGCAGCCACCGTGACCCCTTCGGACAGACGCACTAACCAGGACCCGTTCCTCCGCCAGGACCCCGACGAGAGCGCCCACACAGCGGCAGCAAGA